TTGCTGGGACTGTGGTGGGGCTCCGGAGTCACAGACACTGCTTCTGTACTCACTGGGGTTATGTTCTCAGCTGTGGTGGCCAAGGAACCAGGGCCATGGGCACCTTCCCTGTCATTACCTCCATTCTGCTTCCCCTATGCATTCTAATTCACTCACCTCTAGATGTATGGGTACGAGTATGTGGATCTCTCAGGCTTCCTAGTGTGTTGAGTAGAGGAACCTTTGTTGGGTTATAGATGTCCCACTAGTTGTAGATTGAAGGGGAGAGACAAAGGGATCTTGTCACTCTGCATCATGCTGATGTCACCCTCTCCTTAATTCTTAACCTTAGCCCTAACTTTGGTTTTCTCTACAAGAGCATCTCCATACACTACAAGTTTCACGTTTGAGCCTTTCAGTGTACAATCCCTATCTTTAATAGAGACTGCTGTTTATTTAGCTCAATATCTAACAATCCGAAGAAGTTCTGCATTCCACCCCCATGGGTACATATGGCCTAAGATCCCTTTCTAGGGATTGGGAAGACAGATCTGGCCTGTCAGTTTTTTTCAGATTCTATAGCTTAACTGAGAGAATAATTCAACCCCCTGTTTAATTATTTTCCATTCTAAATCATGACCATCATAATTGGCCTGAACCTCAAATTAGGATAGAGTAAGTTCACTGAAGCATTTTTAAAGGCAGTGACAGAATGCCTCTCCCATCTCCTAAAATGTAGTAGCGCTTTATTAAACCCATAGTGGAAATTCCATCAATTTCTTATTTTGTCATCCCATTTCTAAAAAGCCATCTAAATAAAATCACCTAGTTGAATCAGTTATCTATCTCCTTCCATCTTTCCATTTACCTCCTTTGTGCCTCCTTTCTTTTGGATGGTTTAGAATTTTTTCCACCATGCAACTCTACACTTGGTAACTAAGCCAGCAGATCTGTTACTGCCCCCTGAATATTCTCTTAGCTTCCCAACAGCTAGGTTTTTGTGAGCTACACCCATCATGTCATCATGTGTGCCAACAACATCAAATTGCACAGAAAATAGCTACCTCAGTCGTAAAACATTTCTATTTCATATTTAGATGATTACATACTTTACATGACATGTTCCAAGGAGCCATGCCCCAAACCCAAAGGTTCCAAGCTTGTTTACTGAAATAAACAGTAGCAACCAGATACATTGTGCTAAAGACAGTCCAAAGATAAGGACTCTCCTCAGGTAGTAAATACCATTAGTGACTTTGCTTTGTTTGTGTATTCCATGAGGTCTGTAGTTAATGTTTATGAAATTATATGCGTTCTTCTTTCTTTCTTTTTAGGGGGGTTGTCCCAGTTACTGGAAAGAATGTATTACAGACCAGCTACTTGGTTTTTTTTCCTAGTAATTGTGGAATTTTCTAATAAATAACATATTATGGGTCCTTGAGAATAAAGGTTTTTCATTGTCAAAGAAAGGAAGCACTGATGGCATACAGAATTATTATAGTTCTTATAAAGTCCTGAATTTGATTTCAAAATATGAATTCATGAGGTATTACATTACACACACACACACACACACACACACACACACACACACACACACAAATTCCCATTAAAATAAATCTGGGCATCTTGAAGAAATGAAACCTAGGCTAGAACTGGGGCAGAAAATGTACAAAATGACCCATATGTTCATAACAGCACTATTTATAAAGTCATGAGCCACTTAAAGACATAGATATGTTCTGAGAAATGTGTTGATAGGTGATTTCGTCATTAAGTGAACATCATAGAGTGCACTTACACAATCCTAGATGATATAGCCTACTACACACCTAGGCTATATTTTTCCTGGGCCTAGTTACAAGCCTGTACAGCATACTACTACACAAAACATCATGAGATTACATCAAGCAAAAGAGAAAATGATGCAATCAAGAGACATAGTAAACATGAGATGCATAGGCATACTGTTGACATAACATGGCATGCTGTTTTAAACAAAGTTTTCTAAAAAATAGAAAGAGTGCACTTTAAAGTAACAATAAAAAATATAGTAGTAAATATATAAACCAGTAACATAACCGTTTATTATCATTATAGAGTATTATGTACTATACATAATTGTATGTGCTATATTTTTCTATGACTGGCAATGCAGTGATTTTGTTCACACCAGCATCAACACAAACACATGAGTAATGTGTTGTGCTACATCGTTATGATGGCCATGACATCACTAGGCAATAGGAATGTTTCAGCTCCATTATAATCTTATAGGACCACCATTGTATATGGGTCCGTGGTTGGCCGAAATGTCGTAGGCAGTACATGACTGTAATAGCACCAAACCGGAAACTACCGACATGCCATCAATGATAAATGGACATTTAAATTGTGGTATAGTCCTACAATGGAACTCTATATCATAATGAGAAGTCAACAAATTATTGCTTCATTCAATAATGTGGATGAATCTCATAATGTTGAACCAAAGAAGCCAGACACAATAGAGAATATACTGTATGGTTCAATCATATTAAATTCAAAACCAGGAAAAACTAATTTACCATTTTTAGAGTTGTTACCTTCGGCAAGTCCTGACACAGGGGATATTAACAATGTTCCACATCTACATTTGGGTGTTGATTACACAGGTATGTTTACTTTGTGAAAAATGCATCGCATTTCATCAAAATTGTCAATTCTTTGTTGTACACTAAGAATTTGTGCACTTTTTTGCATTTATGTCACACTTCAATAAAAGGTTACTTAAAAACAAAACAAAACATGAGGTAGATCTATATTCATTGATATGGAAAAAAATCTCTATGATATATTGTTGAGAAAAAAAGGCAAGTTGCTGATCAATACACAGAGATCAATACCATTTGTGTCATATTAAAAAACCCATAAAACAATCATAGTATTTCTTTACATACATATACACATACCGCAAAAAGAGTAATCTAGCAAGAGGGTCAGTCCTCACTCAGGCGTGTGTCTCTGGGAACAGTAGTTGGTGGGAGAGAAGAGGCTAGATCACACATGAGATCTTTTCTTATCTATGAAAATTTAACCTTATATGGACAGAATGTTTTCATGTCATACTCATATAATTAAAATAAGTATTTCCAAAAGGCAGGATTGTTCTTAAATCCAATGTGCAGATGGTTATTTAAATAAGTCTAAAAACCAGAAATTTCTTTAAATGCTAAGCTGTTAATGTGGAAACTTCATTAGTTCCCTGAGCCCACAAACATCAAGGTTATGTAACACAATTACTGGAAATATATTTTTATACATTAAGGTAGAACCAACCCTTTTCTAAAACCATTCCATAATCTGAAGGGGCACAAAACTTTGCTGACCTCTTTTCCCCATGGAAAGATCCTATTGTCCCTTTTTTTTGTTTTGTTTTGTTTAGCTTAAAATGTTTTCTGAAAACATTCAAAGCTGGGGATGGGGGTGAAGATTAGAAGCCTGTATTGCATCATTTATATGTTTCTGTATCTTGAGAAGAAATGTCCCACTCAATTAACCTTTCTTTAATACTGTTCTTGAAAATAACTTTCATTTTTACATAGATAATCAACAGAAACTACTGGTTTTAAGTGTTTTACATGTTAAAATCAGATATATACTTCTGTCATTGAGAGGCCAAGGGCAAATTAGCTCAATTTTATACTTTACCCAAAAGTTTCATAGCTAATCACCATCTTTGACCTCTACATAGAAGTACACACACAAATGAAAAGACACAGTATCAGTGACATACTTTTAATACAATAAAAGTGGTAGTAAGGTCATATTCTATGGCTCTGTCTTTCTCATGGGGTAGGATCTCTCTGGGTTCTAATTAGTAAAAGGGATTGAGTGTGTACTGTCCAGTGAGATGTCTCACGAACTTCATTATAGAACTTGGCAGTCTTAGAAAATCCAAAAGAAAGAGCAAGAGAATACACTCTGTATAGATTCATATAGAAACTTACATGACAAATATATTTATAGTGAGAACTTCTATCGTAAGAGTGGCTAAGCAACATTTTCCAAGAATGAGAACACAACACCACCTCAATTTTTCTCTTTTTAACAGCTAAGGCAATCAACTGCAGGTTCTCTAAATAAGGCTTTCCACTAAAGACAACAACACTTAGACTTCAACAAGAAGAGAGAAGCTTGGTGTTTACCAAGGAGAAATGTAATGGGATCTTTCTTTTAACGCTGTTTAAAATGTGAATTTGTTTGTAAAATCTTCCACAACTTGAGACCTCATTATTTCAGAGATCAGAAAGGTAAACATTCTCAAATGAGATACATAATTTAGGCTCTGAAAACCCTGAGGCTCCAGAGCATTTCCTGTAATGGGTTCACAAAATAAACGTATTGGGCTCAAACCCTATGGTTTCTCGAAAATGAATACAATCATAAAAATTCAAAACAACAAATTAATATGTTCGTATATAATATACATATTTGAATTAGATTACCACCTGCCTGTTTTGTCTATGCTAACATATCAAATGACATTCTCTCAAACATTATTTTCTCACTATTCCCAACAAAAACCCACTACTCTGTTTATTTCTGATACCATAAACAAAGCCAGTCATTCTATTTTAGCATTATTCAAAATATGTTAAAAAAATACAAGGGAAATATCATGTGTTATGCCAAATACAGCTTTTAAAAAGCTTCAAAAAATAAATCAACCTATATTTCCTGTTACCTAGGAACCTGAATTCCAAATCCTATAAAAAGAACTTAAATCAAAGGATCATAACACAATGCCAGTTTTAGAGGTAGTTATATATTTATAAAAAGATTATGAGGCTCACTATTAATACTTTGGTAAAGGTCAAAAGCCCATTTTAAAATCTCCCCTTACTCAGTTTCTTCAGCTGGTGACTCTGCATTTTTATATTCTAAATCATACTTCCTTTTTTGTTGTAACTGCTTATTAGTGAACTCAGATTATTATCTGCGTGGTAACAGAAAGCTCCCTTAAAAATCTGGCTACATACCCAAAGCTGCTACTTTGATGATGATTGCTTGAATGTTAGATGATATCATCTCTTGGAGCAAATCTTCTTGGTTTCTCTGCCAAAGGTAAGCTAAAGGCTGAAGATTAAGCCTCTTACACCTATAAAAGAAAAAGAAGAAAAAATCAGATGACATCTTAATGTTCTACACTTGGATCCATAGCAATTACTTTGATTTTAAACATAATGCTTCTCTCAAGGATTTTAGCACTTAAAATGCTTTTAAAAACATGTTTTGCATAATGAAGTTTATATATACAACATAAACATATCTAATTTCCACAGGCTATACACAAACAGATAAAAATGAAATCTCCAGGCAGCTTAGAAGTATTAATTTTAGTAAGACTCTACAAGTTTAGAAATCTATGCAAAAGAGCTCCCAAATGCCAATGGATGATTATTCTTGTTTCTAGAGCTTCCTTGGGTATCAAAATTGTGAAGCACATGCAAAATAGGCAATTTAGCCTAATAAAACAATCATGTCGATTAACTTTACAATACCTATAGTTATATGAAATATTGTTATCTACTAACTTTGAAAAATTTTAAAAGAATTTGACTCTGCAAAGAAAATTGTAAGAACAAAATGTACAACATATTGAACATCTAATGTGCTGCAGACACTGTACTACGTATTTTACATTAGGGTGCAGGGGAAAGAATCTGGGTTTTGGAGTCAAGATAAATCTGAGTTTGAAACCTACATCTGCACTCACTAGCGAGGTGGCTCTGGCAAGTCCAAGCCAAGCTCTGGGTCTTTAATTTCCTCCTTCATAAACAGGGACAAGGATATTTCCTTTCAAAGTTCTTGAGAAGATTAAGAGATTAGAAAGGGAAGCCATCCTTAACTCCTCTTTTCTTCACATTCCTCATCCAGTCTACCACAGG